ATAGTCTCCTGATTTGTTCATTTTAGCCATTCTGACTGCTGTGAGATGGTATGTGAGTGTGGTTTTGATTTGTATTTCCCTGATGAGAAGTGACGTTGAGCATCTTTTCATGTGCCTGTTGGCCATCTGGATGTCTTCTTTAGAGAAGTGTCTATTCATGTTTTCTGCCCATTTCTTCACTGGATTATTTGTTTTTCGGGTGTGGAGTTTGGTGAATTCTTTATAGATTTTGGATACTAGTTGTCCAATATGTCATTTGCAAATATCTTTTCCCATTACATTGGTTGCCTTTTAGTTTTGTTGATTGTTTCCTTTGCAGTGCAGAAGCTTTTTATCTTCATGAGGTCCCAATAGTTCATTTTTGCTTTTAATTCCCTTGCCTTTGGAGATATGTCAAGTAAGAAATTGCTGAGGCTGGGTCAGAGAGGTGTTTTCCTGCTTTCTACTCTAGGGTTTTGATGGTTTCCTATCGCACATTCAGGTCCTTTATCCATTTTGAGTTTATTTTTGTGAATGGTGTAAGAAAGTGGCCTAGTTTCATTCTTCTGCATGTTGCTGCCCAGTTCTCTCAGCACCATTTGTTAAAGAGACTGTCTTTTTTCCATTGGATATTCTTTCCTGCTTTGTCAAAGATTAGTTAACCGTACTTTTGTGGGTCTAATTCTGGAGTCTCTATTCTATTTCATTGGTCTATATGTCTGTTTTTGTGTTAATACCATGCTGTCTTGATGATTACAGGTTTGTAATAGAGGCTAAAGTCTGGGATTTGTAGGCAGTATTGAAACCCAAGTCTTTTTGTTTCTAAAATACATCTTCATTTTACTGTACCACATTTCTATTCCAGTGACCAGATACATCTATTTTTCTAACCTAGAAAGATATATTGGATCCATCATTCATGGCCTTCTAAATTCTCAAATGACCATAAGCAGTGAATTACCTGAGAGACTAGTCCTTGGCTTTAGAACTTTTCTACTGTTCTCAACTTGAAAGTATCTCAAATGATGAGGTTTTCAGTATCTTTGACAAAAGGGAGAAAAACAAAGTTGAGGTAATCAACTTTTTTCCATAAAGCTAGTTACAAATGTAAAAGACTTCTATTATTCTAAAACTACAATCTCTCTCCCCCAGCACCCCTCTTCCTCTCCCTGTCTCTATGTTCTGATGTCTTTTTCTCTTTTAATGAAACAATGGAGCTAGTAGAAGGTAGTTTGCTTTTTAACATGCTTACAAGTAAGCATGTTTCAAGCATGTTTCAAATAATAAGTGGGCAAGTCCACTGAAAGAGTGTGTCCAATGAATATAATCAAAATTACAAACTTAATTCTGTTCCCCAATTTCCTGTTCAAATGTGTTAGTTATGTCCTTCCTCTAACTGCGAATGAAATTTTGGACATGCTCTGTAGCTTCTCTACTGACCTTTAGTTAATAAAATGTTCTCAGATCACATTCACTCACAGTAATAGTCTCTTTTTAGTAAGTGATAAGTTCAAGCTAGTTAATAATCAAAACTCTGATCTTCATAGTAAGTTAATGTGTTTCCTCTACCAGCCCAGTCCTGCTCTAGACTGAAAGCCTACAGTGGGGGAAGGGAGAGATATGGTGACCTCCTTGTCTTTTTTCCTTTTTAGCTGACCTCCATGGCCTCGCCCTACATACATACTGAGTTTTAGCTTCTGATTGCACCAGGATTGGGGATGAGGGGGAATAAAACAAAGATATGGTTTTAATTAATGGCATAGCTAACATCTGGCTTTTGTTTTCTCTGCCCATGGCAGATGCTTGAAACTGATTATTTCTCTTATAGAAGCTTTCATGTAATCTAGCTACATTTCTACCTCTTAAAATTTTTCTCAGTGGCCTATCACCGTTCAAGACCAAAACAAAAACTTGGCGAGTACTTACTCTGTGTCATGCACTGTACCAGGTGCCAGGATATTTACCAACCCAAAAGCACAATGTGAAAGAACATATTAGTAAAATAAATAAATCTTCAGTCTCAATATCATATTAAGTTTAACTTTTTATTTAAATTTGGTCATAAAGTCTTACTTTACAAGTTAATTGCTATTGTAAAAAAGGGATAGGTCATTAATAGTCTCATTTCTCAGATGTTATTTGATATATGTTCTGACTTGTGTTACCTCCAATGTAGTGTGCACTTTGAACTTATAAGCAGAAAATCTATTTTCAAAGGGTATGCATTCGAGTTCTTGAAATAAATGTGCTCCCAAGTTTGTAGTTTAAGACAGAGTAGGCATTGTTTATCATGTTTTACAGCTGACTCCTAAATAACATGGGGGTCAGGAGCACCAACCAGCCCCATGCAGTCAGAAATCCTTGTGTAACTTTTGATTCCTCAAAAACTTAACCATTAATAGTCTACTGTTGACTGGAAGTTTTACTGATAACATAAACAGTCGATCACATATTTTGTATGTCACATGTATTATATACTGTATTCTTACACAATTCTTATTTCTCTAGTAAGCTAGAGAAAATACTTTAAAATACATTTAAAATACTGTGCTGTATTTATCAAAAAAAAAATCCATATATAAGTGGCTCTGTATAGTTCAAACTCATGTTGTTCAAGGGTCAACTGTAATTCAGTTGAATTTCAGGAGAGGAACCAAGAAATTTATAGAAAGATAAACTATGATGGGTTGGCATTAGTGTAGTTAGGTGACCTTTTAAACTTTAAACTTCCACATCACAGTATGAAGTTGGTTCTGAGATAAGAAATAGAATAAATTGTCCCCTAAGGACAGACCTGAATCTCTGACTGCCTAGAGGCTCACTCAACCGGAGATCATGGCTTTTGATGGTACTTGGAAGATAGACCGGAATGAGAACTACGACAAGTTCATGGAAAAAATGGGTAAGGACTTAATTCTTCAGTGGCTTATTTTATTCCTCACAGATACTTTCCTTTCTAATTCTGTCTAAACCTCAGGGTTTAGGGAATGGCTCCTGTTCTGGTGGTAAGGATCCAGAATGTATGATGGTTCAGAGTAGGGAAAATAATATTTTCACTTCTTATATTAGGAAGACTACACTGTCTCACTAGTAGAAGCAAAGATTCTTTGAGTTCTCTGAAACAAAAAATATCCAGGTAGGTTTCATTCACTCTTTAACTAATGATTGTGCTTATACCATTGAAAACTGACTTTTTTTTTTTTTTGCTTAGAGAGTAAAAAAGGGCAGTGTGTAATGAAAAGCTCAAAACTTTGAAACACTGAATTCTAGAGGATGGAAAAACAAAGATAGTAAAGCAATGGGGAAAAAAAGTTCTATCAAAATTCACAATTCTAAATAACTTAGACTTAATTCTCATTCCTCTGACATGTTAAATTGGGGGAATAATCTCATGATTCCATGTGGTTTCTGTGTGAGTTTTAGCTATCTTTAATATCTATCCCAATACTCTGGAAGTCCATACATTGTACAAGATGTGCAAACAAACTTCTGTCATTCCTCAAAAAATAAAACCTGCATCAATTATGTCCTATAGTTCCAGAATTCCATGTTGAAATTTATGGAATTTGCACATCCTTACACTAATGAATTTGACTGCAATATTTGCCAATTTTCTCATTTTTGTGACAGTCAGAAATGCTACAAAAAGCAAGGAGAATTATGAAGTTCAAAATTTGAAAGCTATTATGGAAAGTGAAAAAACTATTTAAAAACACTGTTTTTGCAGAATTAAAGTTCCTTATAAATATATGAATATATTTAATCCTTCATTTGACATTTCTGGAATTTAGTTTACTTAACACTGAAACAAAAAGTTTGATAACTGTATTAAAATTATTCAGTTCTAAGATCCTACAATTCTAGTTTTCATTTAATTTTTCTTAAGTTTTGGAAAAATAGCTTGAATCACTACTCTTGATCTAAGCTTGAACTTTTTCGGCAAGAGGCATTTTGAATGTTCTTGTGCAAAGACAATGCTATCAGGCTTTCTTCCCCACCCTCAAAACGTACATAAACAAATAAGTAAAACAGGACTTGTTAAAATAAACACTTTCTATGGCATTTTGACTTTTTTCTCCAACATCTTTTGCTTTGCAGGTGTTAATATGGTGAAAAGGAAGCTTGCAGCTCATGACAATCTGAAACTGACAATCACACAAGAAGGAAATAAATTCACGGTCAAAGAATCCAGCAATTTTCGTAACATTGATATTGTTTTTGAGCTTGGTGTCACTTTTAATTACAGCCTAGCAGATGGAACTGAACTCAGTGTAAGAAACTTTTTATAAGCAATGCATTCTTGATTTTTTTACACAATACTAAAATAATCTGTTTTCTGTCATTGGATGTGGTCTAATTAAGTCTCCTTCATTTATTGAAGCAGCCAATAGTTTATCCACATTGTATCTTGCACAAATTGGCAGAATATTTAACTATAATGTTTTTATTTTCATACACATCTGTAAATAGTCTGGATTGAACAAGAATTAGAAAAACATCCTTCAGGTGATTAAATATAGACCTATTATTCATAAAGAAAATGATAGCTCAGTGTTTTCAACTTATTATATAACTGATAGCAATAAAAACTTTCATATTTCTCTAACTTAAACATAATAGTAATTTAATAAATATACCAAAATAGTAAAATAAGTGAATAAATTAGTTAATGGATAAGTGACAAAATGGGAAAGTCTAATGCTACATTGTAGGTCATTGGGAATATACCTTTTAATGTTTAAGATAAAAAATTTTAGAAAGTCATACTTCCAACTGATTTTTTAAAAACATTTTTGTCCTCAGGATTTTGTAATTAAATTATATGTTGGTAATGACAAACTGTGAAATATCTTATCACTTATGGTCATTTTTAGTTATTATTTATTTTTTAAAGCATTTATTATCAAACAATCTCTACACCCAGCTTGGGGCTGGAACCCACAACCCAAGATCAAGAGTTGGATGCTCCACTGACTGAGCCAGCCAGGCACCCCTATGACCATTTTAAAATTATTACAACAATTATAAAATTAAAACAAACACAGGGTTGTTAGGTTCTCCATGAAACTAACTTGAACTATGACTAAATTTAGGACACTCTTTGTAACATGAAACATTGAGAAAAATGCTGTTCATCTACCTTAAAGTTTAGCATTTGGAAACAACTGAGTGAGACAAGCATAATGGTTACCAACACATACTCTAGAGCCCCAAAACCTAGGCTGAATCCTGGCTCTGTGACTTTAGGTGAAGTACTATGCTTCAGTTTTCTCAACCATAAAATGGAGATAATAATATCTACTTCACAACGTTATTGTAAAGATTGAAAAAGTAGATCTATAAATTGAGAACAGAGGGCACCTGGGTGTCTCAGTAGGGTAAGCATCCAACTCTTAGGCTCAGGTCATGATCTCACTGTTTGAGTTTGAGCCCCATGCAGGGCTCTGTGTTGACAGCACACGGCCTGTTTGGGATTCTTTGCCTCTCTCTCTCTCTCTCTCTCTCCCAAAAATAAATAAACATTTAAAAATAAACAATAAACTCCCAAAAAACCCCACCTCAGAACAGTGTTTGACATACTTAAGACCCTAAAAAATATTATCATTATTATTTGTTATGGTTACTATTATTTTACATATTATTATTATTATTATTATTATTATTATTTTACATATGTAGGGTGCTTGGAGCCTAGAGGGAAATAAACTTGTTGGAAAATTCAAACGGGTAGACAATGGATGTGAACTGAATGCTATCCGAGAAATTGTAGGTGGTGAACTGGTCCAGGTGAGTTGTAAAAATATTACAGCTATTTCTTAAAGACAAAAATAATTACATAACAATAATTTTATTTTGTGATTCCTGAGTTATAGCTTCAACAAATAAACTAATACTTTTCTCATAAATCTTATTTTAAAGAGATACGTTATTTTCTGATGCCTATTTATTGAGGAGAGCTTATATATATGCCAAATATATCAGTGCCTATTGATAACCAAAAAATGTGTTTTGAAGTGGGCACATCCTGCCTCTGTATAAAATGTTGCTATCAAGACTAAGAAAAAAAATATTATAATCATTTCAAAGATATAATAATACTAATACTTTTCTTAATTTAGCCTTAAATCTTAATGGCAAATTCTTCTATGTTTGTTAACACCTTTCAGACTTACACATATGAAGGAGTAGAAGCCAAGAGGATCTTCAAAAAGGAATGAGCTTCATTTTTGGAGCACAGCCCAGAACACAAATTGAATAGAAAATCTATATTGTATTAAAACTGTTTTTCTCTCCCTGATTAGTCCGTTTGTAAACATAACCAGTGACTTATATTTCTAGTCTTGCCAAGGCAAAAGAAGTAAAAGCTAATTAGGATTTAATTTGTTTTACATTCTCTAAGATGTACATTTATTGCTGTATTCGTGTTGGAAAAGAATTTGTGACATGTTTTAAAATAGATGAATAAACTTTGTTCCCACATTGCTTTGTAGGTAGCTTTTCCTTTAAAAAAAAAAAAAAGAAAGAAAAAGAAAAAAGAACAAAAAGGAGGGGCACCTGGGTGGCTTAGTTAGTTAAGTATCCAACTCTAGGTTTTGGCCAGGGTCATGATTTTACGGCTCGTGAGTCCAAGCCCCACAGCAAGCCCCGCATCTGGCTCTATGCTGACAGTGTGGAGCCTGCTTGGGATTCTCTCACTCTCACTCTCCCTCTCTCTGTCCCTCCCCTGCTCTCTCTCTCTCTCTATCTCTCGGTCTCTCTCTCTCAAAATAAATAAAACTTAAAAAAATTTTTTAAATACAGATTAAAAAAAATTAAATAAATAAAGTTATGCAACATATGCATTGATAGACTATACTTCCCCCACCCCCACATTTGGTAAACTGAAAACACAGACTGGATTGGGGTCTTTAAAATCTTACACTGGTTGTGATTTTTCAGCAGAAACTTCGCAGGCCAAAAGGGAGTGGCAGGATATATTTAAAGTGCTGAAAGGGAAAAATGTATAGCCAAGAATACTCTACCCTGCAAGGTTATCATTCAGAATTAAAGGAGAGATAGAGTTTCCCAGAGAAGCAAAAACTAAAGGAGGTCATCATCACTAAACCAGCTGTACAAGAACTGTTAAAGGATCTTCTTTAAATGGAAAAGAAAAGTCCACAACTAGAAATAAAATATATGAAAGAAAAAATCTCCATTGTAAAGCAAATATATGATCAAGGAAGTGCATTTGCTACTTAAAAGTTAGTATGATGGTTAAAAAACAAAAATAGTAAAAACACCTATAACTACATAAATAGTTTTAAAATACATAAAATAAAAAGATATATAATATGACATAAAAACAAAACATGGGGAGGGGGTTAAAATGTAGTGCTTTCAGATGCATTCAAACTTAAGTGACTATCAGCTTAAAATAGACTGCTATATAAATAGATCAATATAGAAAAACCTCATGGTAACCACAAGCCTAAAATCTACAATAGATACACAAAAAAATAAAGAGAAAAGAACCCAAACATAACACTAAAGAAAATCATCAAACCACAGGGGAAAAGACAAAGAACAGAAGAAAAAAAAAACAGAAAAACTACAAAAACAACCAGAAAACAATTAACAAAATGGCAATAAGTACATACCTATCAATAATAACTTTAAATATAAATGGACTAAATGTTCCAATAAAAAGACACAGGTTTGCTGAATGGATAAAAATAGAAGACCATCTGTATGATGCCTATAAGAGACTCTATTTTTTTTAATGTTTATTTATTTTTGAGAGAGAGAGAGAGACAGAGAATGAGCGGAGGAGGAACAGAGAGAGTGGGGGACAGACGATCCAAAGCAGGCTCTGTGCTGATAGTAGATAGCCGAATGCGGGGCTTAAACTGACAAACCCTGAGATCATGACATGAACCGAAGTTGGATGCTTGACTGACTGAGCCACCCAGGTGCCTCAAGAAACGCTCTATCTAAAGACACACACAGGCTGAAAGTGAAGAGATGGAAAAATATTTTACATACGAATGGAAATGAAAAGTAAGTTAGAGTAGCAATACTCATATCAAATAGACTTTAAAACCAAGACTGCCACAAAAGACTAAAAAGGACATTACATAATGACAAAGGGGTCAATCCATGAATCAATTAATTTGTAAATATTAATTCATCCAACATTGGAACACCTAAATATATAAAGCAAATATTAACAGACATAGAGAAATTGACAGTAATACAATAATAGTAGGGGACTTTAACACCCCACTTACATCAAAAGATAGATGGTCCAGGCCAAAACAAAAAACAAAAAACAAAAAATCAGTAAGGAAACAGTGGCCTAAAACAACACACTAGACTAGATGGACTTTACAGATACATATATATAACATTTTATCTAAAAGCTACAGAATACACATTATTTTCAAGTATACATGGAATATTCTCCATGATCAACCACGTTAGACCACAAAACAAGTCTCAATAAAATCAAGAAGATAAAAATCATATCAAGCATCTTTTCTGGCCATAATATGAAACTAGAAATCAATTACAAGAAGAAAACTAGAAAAACCACAAACATGGGGGCGCCTGGGTGGCGCAGTCGGTTAAGCATCCGACTTCAGCCAGATCACGATCTCGCGGTCCGTGAGTTCGAGCCCCGCATCGGGCTCTGGGCTGATGGCTCAGAGCCTGGAGCCTGTTTCTGATTCTGTGTCTCCCTCTCTCTCTGCCCCTCCCCCATTCATGCTCTGTCTCTCTCTGTCCCAAGAATAAATAA